ACAAATGAGCAGAGATTGAAGCGAAAAACTAAAAGCTTGGGGATTCTCTGGGCCATCTGCATAATTTGTGTGAAATTGCGACTACAAATTGCTCATCTGAACCCGCGTCGCACTGCCACAAAAGATATACATTCCGGACTTTGGTTTGCGGCGGGCAAATTGTGGGATTTATGGATTGTTTTGCCAAGCGCCACACGAGCGCTGTTATCAAGGTGCTTTACTACACCCATTACCAGATCCCCCTGCCCGCAAACATACAGCTTTATGTTTGTGTGAGCCCGCATATGTATCACCGACAATTGAAATTGCTTGTTCTCCCAGCGAATCGCTGGATCTGAATACGCTGCCAAAACGCGGCTGACGTTGCCGGACTGCCTGCCAGGGCAATAAGAATGAATGTTAGTAAATAAATAAATATTGTAAACAAATGTTCGTTTTTTGCTGGCTTGGCATATGTACAGCTGGCTGTTGCAACAAATGAGCTTGTCAAGTTAAATGGCACGCACCAAATGCTGTCAGCGAGGTTGCAAGCTCACAGACAGGGCTACGGATGCCACACATACAGACCCACATGCCCTGGACTGGCATTGCCGCCATTTTGTCTGGCTGCACTGAGTAAATTGTTGCAATTGCTGACTGTAAATAACCCGGGCACAATGTGGCACAACACGGCGTATTAGTAATCTAGTTTATTTCTGTATATGGCAGCGCAGCAGGGTAAGCTAGACGGGGTGAATGGGAATGTGAATGGAGGATTGGCGCTCGAACAAAGTCTGAAAACTTTGATTTCCCCTCTATTTCCCGCATTTCTTTGACCAACTTAAGAGTTTGGTTTAAGTTTAGAACTTCAAGCTCTATTTTTAAGCAAAGTAACTTTGTGAGGAAGGCGGCGGAAGTATTGCATATCTTTGTTAGCTTATTAAGTCAATAAATTCATTTTAAATACGGATATTTAAAATGAATAAAAGATGATTTAAATAGTATATCAACATAGATTGTCATATTCGAATATTTAAGTATTTAAATAATAACCTAACCAGATTAAATAAAAGGTATAGAAATATGACAGTGTTCAGTTTCACTTAGGATAGTTAGAGCTAACCTCATCACATCTATAAACCCTGAATTTTATTATTTTAAAGTTCCAAATCTTGCCATAAAAGTGTCACAAATAAAGTGATAAGATTTAACTGGAGCTAAACTGTAAAGGCTAACAGAGAATCCCCCATCGACGCCTTACTCTTTGCTAGTCAATGGCTCTCCCCACATATAGAGCATTTCATTACCCCGCGAAATACTCCACTAATCGCCGAAGTACACGCCGTTTAGTCTGGCACAACCAGCTATGGAGAGATACGGCCAAGGAGAGTCTAGGGGAATTGTCTATTTATAATATCTTATCAGAGGAATTTTTATTAGCCGTGTATTGTTCTGCAAATATTAATTAGTTTCTGTGATTGTACAACGAAAAGGGAAATTGCCCCGGTGCTTTTGGAGTGTGTGTAAGTGTTTGCATTGCGTGTCATGGCGAAATTATCATTGGTTGTGTGACGCAGGAGACCCCATTCATCCCATCCCTTGCCTGGACACCAAGCGAAACGTCTAAGAGGGCTGGTGAAATTGCAATCGACAGACGCTGTGATGACGCATGCTTTTCCCATCGGCTTGTTTTCAGTACGAGAGCGAGTGTGTGTGGGGTGTGCGTGTGGGCCTAGACATATGGCGACAAAGAGGCTGACGTCATAAGCTATCCATCTAACGGGGAAATGGAAATGTGAAATGGAAATGGAAATGGAAAACAGAGTCTGGCAGACGGAGATGGTGGCAGAGAAACTACCCCCGAATGCGTGTCAAGACTTTGGACTTGGACCCACCAGAGTGGGCACTTGGCCTGGTCTAACCCACTTTGCACAGCTGCAACATCTCAGTACCGCACTATTGCAGTTAGGCAGTACGGCAGTACGGCAGTACGGCAGCAACACCACAGACACAGCAGCAACATGTCCCACAGCCCCACATCCCACGCAGGCAATTAAGAACGCGACTTGGCTATTGGGTTACACTTAAACTTCACTTCATTCGTTCGGTTTCGTTTTGTAGTCAGCATTTAAAATTATTTATTAGAAGCAACAGTCGGACAGGCGGTGTCACAAATAAGGAGGGTGAAGGGGAGCTCTGTCGCGCGGGGGGGCGTATCAAATGTTTTGCTTTTTGCTTCTCAGTCTTTTCAGTTCTTTTTTTCATTCGCTTGCTTGCTCTTCGGTCTTCTGTTTTGGGTTTTGCCAAAACGAAACGAGCCAAGCCGGCTTGCTTTAAAAGGGGGTTTCAAAAGGGGTGAGAGACCCAAAGGGGGTTATACATGGGTGGCGAGGGGTATCTCCTATAACGTCTGGCGCTTGGCGACAGCAATTTACCTTTAAGCGAATGCAAAAGTATGCGGAGTGCCGAAGAAAAAGTAGTCCCAGCCACACAATTACCCCACTAGAAGAATTCTTCGGAGAACGGGAATCGGGAGATCGGGGCTCTTTAGCTGGACCATCTCTATAAATAAGCTAAAAGTCGCTGGCCGAACCAGCTGAACCATAAATCATAAGCAGACGCGCGAGTGTCGAGTTATTATGCGATCATATTTTAATTGCCGGATTATTATTATGCAGGCAGTGCCACAGACCCACTTGCCCCCCTTTCCTCTGCAGCATAATCAAGTCCAGCAAACAAACAAAACACCTGCAAAGTCACCAGTTGCAGTTCGCCTCTCCAGGTGAGTGTGCGGATGCGGATTGGAGATCGCTCGGCTGTGTATGGAGTGTGTGTGGAGCAGACCTGAAGCCTCGACGAAGATTGCAGACCGCAGATCGCAGATCGCAGACCGCCTGGCTCTGTGCTTGGACAGGTGCGTGTATGTGGCCAGCGGGAGCGGGAAAGAGTTGCAACGTTCCGTGACAATCCATTACCGAATAAGGAATGCCCTGGTAAGGATCACAATGTATGTCCTTTAACTATACAAGCCAATCAGTTCATTAGGTTAAACTTTTGTTTAGAAACTTCAAAAGGAAAAGAATCTAAAATACATAAAAATATATATCATTTATGTATGTTATTTTAATAGAGTAACCTTTTGATTTAAAATCTCTTACCAACCAGAACAATTTCTAACTACCTACAAAAACTTTTCATTAAGCCATTTTCATTGAAGAGTTGCCTAACTTGTGCGTATGTTTTCCCCACCCAATTGCCCATCCTCAGAGCTAAGCAAACAACATCATCCACTTCAATTACCCTTGATCCAAGGGTATAAACACATAGTTTTTTGAAACCGAATTCACATGCAGTTCGTAGTTGTAGTGGCAGTTGTTATTTTTGTTATTGTTGGCGATGTTGTTGATGTTGCTCGGTGGGCAGAAGGGGCAAACGAGTTGGCCCCGCCGCCTATGTATGTGAGTTGTCAGTTGGCAAAACTGGTATGGTTGCATTTTTATTATAAAGCGAACAGAAACAACAACAAAAAGCGACACCTAGGCAGTACGGGAAAGTCCGTCCGATTGTCTTTGCCACTGCAACTGGGGATCAGAGGATTGGGGATTGGAGTATTGGAGGATCGGGAACCTGGAATGGGGAATGGGGAATGGGGAATGGGGACTGGGTACTGGGGTACTGTCATCCATGGCCTGGTGTGTCGCCTGTTTAGCCGAGTACTCGAACTGCTAGTCAGACGTCTGTTCTATGGACATTTCATGGACATGCCGGCGCACATTCATATTAACCCATGTAGCTTTGGCTTATTCCCAGCCCCGCCCCCAACGGATTGCCCCTGCAAAGAGCAGTTATTACCAGCATTATATACACAGAAAGAAAAATATATTGACTATCTTGGATAGGGTCTTAACTAATAAGAACGAACGGATTTATACGTATTTGATTTCACAATAATTTCTTGGCTAATCTTGGATATCTTTGGATATCTTTGGATATCAAAATACAACTAGTATCTCAATTTCTTTCTGTGCATACTTTATTTGCTCCTCTGTTTGTGTTTCGGCTTGTGTCTTCATTGCCCCAGGAGTCGTAATTTGTATTTGTGTCCTTCAGGCCGCCTGTCCTCCTAATGAGCCAGTTTATTGTATTCCCTATTTCTGCCTCCCTACCCTGGGATAATACTTTTTATGGCTTTGTGGCGGTAATACAGGAAATTGCCAGCGATTAGCTTAGTGACAATTCAAGCTGCAATTGAAGTTGCAGTTGCAGCTGCTGCAGTGATTTATCAGCTGAGAGTGACAGTTGGCCAGCTTATCTATATATCAGCAAGAGATATTTGACACATCGTTACTAATTGGTTAAACAATATGTCTCAACAGTGATTCATGCCCGGCAACAGATAAAGTGTTGAATGTACATACATATATCCGATCTGAAATACCTTGTTTAATCACTCACTTAGTTGGTGGCTGCTAAGCGGCTTAAAGTCAGTCCGAATCCCAAAATACACACTCAGAACGCCTATGTGAGTAGTTTTAGAATGCATTAAACCCAAATTGTTGCCAGGCAATTAAATCCAACTGTGAATTTCCGCCTTACAAAACACTATGCAAATGTTCTCAATTAATTGCTTGCTTGAGAACGATCAAACATATGTTTGCTCATTCGTAATTTGATCAGCTTCTGATTTTGATTTAGAAATTCTTAATGCTCGGCGGCAATAAATTTTGAATTTGAAAACGACGAGAGAGCAGAGAGCGAGTGCCAAATGTGATAATAGAATCCGAACAATTAAACAATTTTCGCAAAATGTTGAAACAACAAAGGCAGATAGCACACACGTTCGCAGATACACACAGATAAGTGAAATGTTTATATGTTTCGCATTATAATAAAACAAAATCGCAATTGGCATTATAGCAACAAAGAGCGGGAAAACAACAACAGCAGAATCAAGGGAATAAAGGGATCGGGGAGAGGCAGAGATTAATTACAATGGAAAAAAGTAAAGACGCAAAGTTTACCCGTAATTACACTTCCAGATTTCCAGATGAGGTGCTTGTGGTGGCAAGAAATCGGCGGAATCGAAAATTAATTATGCTTGACATGTTGCCAGCGATCATCAGTGTTGTTCTTGTTGTTATTGTTGTTGTCTTCTAGTTGTTGTTGTTGCTACTCGACCCGATATGAATCGCATTTTCAATTGCCTGGGCTTGGGTCTATTTTATTTTTTTATTTTTAATTTTTTTTTTGTATTTCTATTTATGCGAAATAGAGAGGGCACTACGCGCTTGGAAAGAGACGGACAGCACTTAGAACTCACTGGCACATAATTTATTTGAGCCGGCGCGCGCCTTTCATTTCAATTTCCATTTCCATTCGCATTCGCTAAAGCATTTCCATTTCCATTTCCATTTCAATTTCAATTTGATTGCGAGTACTTCGATTCGGTTTGCCACAGATTACGCATACGCCACGTTGTGCGCACCCGCCGACGCTGTCAAAGGTTCAATTCAGCGCTGTGCCGCAATTGCAATTTGCATTCAATTCAATACAACTCAATGAAATTGCGCGCCAATTCACCGGACCCACTGGAAAACGCTCCCAGCAAGTGGAAAACGACGCATTTGCACACGCAGAAAATGAGAAAATCAGAAAAACTGAAAATCACGCTTAAACCCGCATTAAGCTCTCGTCGCGTTGATAACAAATTTCGTTTATGTTGTTTTGTATTTCATTTACTTTTCAAGCGTGTGTATATTTTGAGAGTGTTTCGATTGAAATTACACTCTATTAGCGATCGTCGTTTGTGAATCGGCGAACGTGAAAATCGCGCGCGAGTTTTCCCCTTCAACAGAGGGATTTTCCTGGCCAGCAGATTCGAAATTTCGAGCCACTCTCGAGCGATTATTAAAATAGCACCGCTCGCGTGCGCAGCCAAATTCAAACTGAGAACTGAAAATTTCAGCTGAGAAAACTGAGAAAACGCTCGGTTCGTTCGGCATGGCCTTCGTGTCGCCGAGCCGAAGGCAAAGCAGCGCAGCAGCAGAGGAAGGCTGCCCATCGGATTGGGGCTTCAATATTTTGGGGGCTCGCACTTTGCTCCGATTTTTTGTTGCTGGAAGTGGTGGTGGGGGTGATTGCTGGAGGGGTTAAGGGGCTGGAGACAAACGCTTGTCGCCTGGCGCTAATTAACTGCACCGAAAGAAATAGCTGGTAGCTATGGTATCTATTTGAACCTATTTAAAGTGGTTTTTATGTAGGTATATTAATCCATTTCCACAAATATTTTTAGGTATTTATGCTCACTTAAAAATGTATAGAATAGCTATAGTTACTTAAAGTTATATGTATGTTCATGAACCAAATACGAAGAAAGCACATCTTGAAGAGTTCATATTTTTTATTATTTACAAATATATCATTCCTAGTCATATAATTTTTTCATTTACAATGCGCAGTCACAAATGAGATACTCAGATATCTTGAGATGTTTTTTCTACGTGCGTGAGTTCTGGCGCTGCGGTCGCAATCATATTCAAGCGACTTCAAAGGCGCAGTCCTCAAAGGTTGCAATTGAAATCGAATTTCAATCTACATTCACACATTCCTCAGCGAAATGAACACCTTAGCATTGACGAAGTGTTAACAAGCCGAACATGAGAAGCGCCCTACCTTAGTAGTAAGCAACTCGACTCAATTTAATACGATTCGATTCGATTCCGGGAACTTTTGCCAATTAGAATTTGTCAACTGGCATTCCGCGCTGTCTGCTTTGACTTCTTTGTTTTGACAGCACCGCGTGCCCAGGGATTCACAGAGGTATTTTCCGAGTCCGATAGCATAACATTCCCTGGCCGTAGTATCGATTAGATTACCTATGGCATCCAAACCATGAATGAATTGAAGTTCAAGTGTGGACGAACAAGGCTGATAAGATCAGTGGGTGTCAGGTGAAATTGACAGACTTTGGAATCACTGAAAGTCAGGTGAAATTAACACCTATGGGGGAAATGTTAATACTACTGGTGACAGAAAATCTAAGTGTGTCATAATTGGCAAGTAGTTTTTAAAGTAATTTCACAATCCGAACCAATAGCAATGAATCATTTTTAGTAATCAGCACCGAAAGTGGTAAGCTGTGTATTTCCGCAATGAATTAAGTATAATGATAGGAAAAATTCCGTTCGTAAGTAATTAAATTTATATTTGATAACCGCATGTGTACTTAATTTCTAAAGATTATAAATTTATTCAAGTAATTTTGACTTTTACTCATGTAATATTAAATTCTCAAGATCTCTTGGCTTAAGAGTGTCTCTTTAAGAATTGCTAAAGGAGAATGTATTCCTTAATGATTATTAATCATAATGACTAACAAGCTGAGGATAAAATCCATCAATAAATAAAGAAGAGCCAAAGAATATACTAGGATGGGCTTCTTTTTTTGCAATTTTACTACAAATCGGAAGCAATTTCTTTCCCACCATGAATGAATCCATTCATTATAATCCCCAAAGCTGCCGTGACTGCAAGCTGCATTCGCAATCCGAAATGTGTCTTATGGCATTTGTCTCGAATGCGATAATAGCACTTAAAGCTCTTAAATGCATTCTGCAGATGAGACAGCATACAAATGGTGCTGAGAGATCCGAGGCCCTGGGATAATTCACACTTAACCCGCGGCCAAATCAAACTGCCAGGCATTTGACATTTATGCGCTGGTTTTTTTTCTATTTTTTGTTTTTTTGGAAAAGCTGCCGCGGCACGCTAGGAAAATGCCACGGAGTTGCAGCTGAGCTGGAGATGATTTATGCACTCATTGTATCTGTAGTTGTGGCTGGAAAATTGCAGTTATCACGAACGAAACTCGGCTTTGGATTATGCTTTGGTTTCGGTTTAAGCTTTGGAGTCAGAGTTGGAGTTGGAGTTGGAGTTTCCCAGGCCGTGGATTTTGTCACTGAGGTTGCCCAGTCATTATTTATGAGGCGAGCGGTGCAATATGCAGCCAGGTGGGAACCGTGACGCAGTCTGTAAAATTAAATAATTGCGTTTCATTAAATGCCGTTTGCTATTTGCATAGGTATACATACGTTCTCCTCTCTTGCAAACAAAGTGCAAAGCAATTTGGCATAAACGTCATCGGGTCGAGTGGGCGGTGGTGGAAATCTGAGAATCCCGCCCCACAATTTTCCACGCCACTTGAGCGTAATTAAGCGTTGAACTTCTAAGCTCTAAGCAAATAGGAAACCCGTCGAGCGTCTCCACTCCAGGCCCACCCCTTATTTGCCCGTTTATCCCATAGTCCACATATATTGGCTATATATACAATACGGAGCAGTTTGCGCTTCGAATCGATGCTATTTTGATACTAGCAAATATTTGCAATTGGCCAATATGTGACTCGGTCGCTATTGTAGTGGCTATTTCTGGAGGCGAGTCAGGTGAGGATAATCCCAATTCCAATAAGCTAGGCTCGGCCGGAGTTGTGAAATAGTTTACGGCCAGTCAGCGAGTAAACAATCTATGGGGGATCTGGGCGATCTGGGCATTTTCCATGAGGCTACCACGCGCACAATAAGAACCAACAGCCTGCTTACAAACAAGCTGCTCAAATTTCCCTAATGGGGCAGAGTTCATTTGCCCCATGGAAGGCGATATGAATATCGGGTCCACGGCGTTCGAAGAAAGGTTGCCAGGAGCAAAAGGCAGAAGGCAAACTGATGCACGGAAAAAATTAAATATTTAAAATTTCTTTAAAAATTGAGTTATTCCAATACTGGAATATACTTTGCCTAACTTCTTTTTAAAACTAATATATATCTTCCTCTGTCTAACACTTACTTTATTACCTTAATCTGTCACTTTATAAAAGGTTCATTCATCTTCTTCTTTATAATCTTCAGCATTTCAGATTTTTGATGAATTTATTTGTTTCAGTGTGTAGCCCCTCCCCTTGATGTTTACACAGGCGGCACGACACTCACACTGTAATTAGGTGTATCCAGTGGATCCACTGCGACATACGAGTATCAACAACACATTGTCATTCTGGCCGGGCTAATTGAAAAGCTCTTCTCCACATGTCCACTTGTCTATATAACAATAAAGAGGGCGGTGGGCGTGGCCGGGGTCAGTGCATTGCCAATTCAAAGGGGAGTGGAAGGGGCGTGGCGATTGTGTAGTATTACTTACCGTTGCCTAGGCCAACAATAACAATACCCAATATCTATACAGTTTGACAGCATATTAGTGGCTCTTAAACTGTTCGCACGCAGTTACAGAAGCACTGACCTTGTCTGGCTAGTAAGGGTTTAAACATACATTTTAAAAATATATATAAGTTAATGATTATTATTATTTAAATTGTTATTATTTTGATTTTAATCTTAATTTTATATGCAGTTTAAAAAATGTGCAGATATTGAGGAAAATTTGTTTAAAAATGCTAAATGATGGTAATGGCTTTAAAACTTAGAACTTTTAAGGTTACAGGTTGGTGATTTTGAATAACAAAGACCTACACCAAAATTTGCAAAGTAATTGGATCACTACCAGAGTCTGATCACATTTGCATGCTATTCGCGACACTCACCCTTTTCAAGATAAAAACTAAACTTGATCTTAATTAAGAGCCTAATTAAAACGCATCGAATTACAGGCGACCCCAGCCATGCAATTAAAATCGAACAACTCGCCGGCTGATGCGTCGCCGCTGATAATTTCGGAAATGCCAATCAGATGAAAGGGCCAGTAGTGCAAATGTTTTCCGAACTGAACCGATCCTCCGCCCCTTGTCCGATGTCTCCCCATCCGATTGCGCGGTTTTGTGCGTTCTCCGTTGATTTGCTCTGGCGTCTGGGCGTTTCGCCGGTGAGTCAACGTCAACAAAGCGGGATGTCGCCGGCGATGTGGTTTCTTTGTTCTTTTGTTGACCAATCTCTGTCACGCCGAAAATGTTCGAGAGATCAAAGTACAAGTGGGCCAATTATACTGCCAAGAAGTGCGATTGTTCGCCAGACGGCTTTCAGAGGCAAGGAAAATCCCACAAGCTGATTAAAATCGTTAGTTATATTGGCAAACAATTTGTCTATGCGGCCTATACAATTACACAGATGTAGAGTTGTATGAGGGACCATGTACATTGGTAACTAAGACTAAACAATGCAACTTAGGCTACGCAAAGGAGGGGTGGCAACAATCTTTACACTTATTAACTAGGGTACGTAATGCACTAATCAGAGTCTCGATCATGGATCAGATCGGATCCGCAGTCGTTGCTTATCGCTAGTGTCATAAGCCGTACTTAAGGTATAACAAGGACTTAACGTGATCTACTGTACACCAGGCGCTGTGTCGCCTTAACCATCACCAGTCGTCCCTGGGCAGCCTGTAGGTGGTGTTGTCGCTACGAACGATATGGATTCCGGCTCCGTAATAGGGTATCACATAAGCGGAACCATCCGCCGGACCCACAACTTGTAGGGCAATTAGCACTATGTCAATGAGCTGGCCCAGGAACATGCCGCCAAGGGTACAGAACTTGAGTAGCCCAATGCCCGGGTAGCCTAAGTAGAACCTATCCACCCCGAACATGCCCAGGAAAACGGAGAGTAGCAAAGTAGTGTCCAGGTGGTAGCCATTTCTGTGTATATAATATTCGTTAGCGAATTAGGAAAAAAGGTCACACAACAATACCCACGTCCACTTGCAGGGCACTTCCCGGGTGAAGGTGGAGTTGCCCGTCTCCGTACAATTGATCTCATGGGCGGCAATGCACCAGACTCGGGCATGGCCCTCTTTGGTACATCCGGCCAATTGCTGCGTCCGCGGATCGATCTGACCCCTTGCCGGATCTGGGCACATAAACTGGCCCATCATTTGCAGCTCGTTGCAGTCGACATTTATCTGGTGGGTTCCCTTGGCGAAGAGGAGGAGCAGCAGCAAGAACGGGTGCACTGGGAACATGAGTGGTTTGGTTTTGGCCTCTTCGGTTTGCTAGGTGGTGGTGCTGTTTTGGCGGTGACTATTTGACACGGGAAGTATTCGTATTCGTTTTCAATTCGATGTTTTGTTTATTGCAGGCAGGCCAGGTTCTAAAATTGTTGTTGTTTGGGGCTCTAGGGCAGTGTGACCGCACTGGAAACGGGCAAATTTGCCGCACTGCATCGTACCAAAAAAATACTGCGACTTGGCGTTCTAAAAATATACTGCGAGTGTTAAGAACAGACTAACAGTGCACTGTTAATTAACAATGGACTAAATATCGATGGCGGTATATTTAAGTGCCGATAAAATAAAAACTTAACGAAATGTTTGATCATTATTTTGTCATTGAAACAGGCCCGCCTGTTTATTAAATATATACTTCTTACAGTTAAGTAAAACCTGAACATGCTTAATATTGGCAATTGTTTCGGGCGAAAGAGCTTCCTTAAAAGTTATTGCTACTTTTGATGTCTGACCAAAAGTACGATCTATGCAACCCTTTTCTCCGGACGAAAGCTCCACTAACTTGCCTACGTACTGATCACGTTTTGCCTCCTTCTTAAAAAGATTTTGAACTATCACTTCATTGGCATTAACCACTCGCTGAATGTTTCCCACTTTCTGTTTCCGCTTGAAGATGCCAAATTTTGGTAGCTCGTCTTGGATGAAATTTGCACACTGAGTTTGCCAGGCAATGTGTCCCCAAAAGGCCAAACGACAGCTGCTACTATGAACATCCATATCCAGTTTAGACGCAATCAAAGTCGAATTTGGAGGTGTCAGAACAGGGGTTTCAAACTGCAAAAGGGCATAGATCGTATCAGTGCATTGAACATCCGCAGGCAGAATTTCCTCCAGGTAATCGTACTCCTTGTCTAGTTGAAAGCCTTGAGTTTGGTGGTTCGTATCCCGAAACAAGGTGACATTGGCCATCACTGTGTCATGTCCCACTGAGATGTGCAGCTTGCTCTGTGATTTTATGGTCTGTTTATAATAGCGAATTGGTTTGAGTTGCAGGCACACAGCGTAGGTGGGTTTTAGGTAACCCGGCTGGGCGATGACACCACGTTCCAGCTGTTTGGCATTAAACTGTGTGACACAAAGTCCAATTCTATCCCCCATGGAGGCGGTGATCACGTTCTGGCGGAACATCTGCATGGATTTGACTTTCCTTTGCTCTCCCAGAGCTGGAAGCTCTATAACATCGTTCACCTGAACCTTTCCCTGGAGCAGAGTTCCTGTGCAGACGGTTCCCTGTCCTTTTATTGGGAAACAGTGATCAACGTACATGAGCAGCGGATCGGTTACGTTTCTTTGAGGCTGAAAAAAGGCATCTCTCAGTCTATTTCTTAACTCTGTGATATGGGTTCCTTCGAGAGCAGAAACAGCATACATTGGCACTCGACCACCGAAACTAGTAGCTTCCAATGTCTTCGTAAGGCGCGATTTAAGCTTTTCTATCTTTTCATCTCTCTGATTCTCTGGATAAACATCTATTTTGTTGATCACAACAATAAGTTTTTTCTGCAGGAGCTCTCCAATTATTAGACACTCCGCTGTCTGGGTTTGAATGCCTTTCTGTGCGTCCACCACGAGAAGCATTAGATCGATGATCTGAGCACCTGCAATTGTAAATGATTAGTAATCTTGTTGAGGTAAGTAAATCATAGGAGCACCTCCTATAATAGTACGAATAAGACTTGCATGGCCCGGACAGTCGACAAAAGTAAACTGGAGCTGTTGTCCTTGTGGCAAACTGGAAGGAGCCTCTAACAAAACGGCACTGAATCCCAAATCCAAGGTAATTCCTCGCTCTACGGATTGTGGATTCTTGTCGAAGGCGGCTGTACTGGAAATTGAGCTTAAGGCCTTGGCCAAAGTGGTCTTTCCGCTGTCCACATGACCGAGTAGGCCAATATTAAAGTTAATGGGCATTTTTTGCTCAGTCTAATATAAAATCATTAAAAAAATCAGGAGACCGCTTGAAAAACTAAATTGAGATGGTAGATTTTCGATAGTATGAAAATCAATAACAGTAGAGTTAATTAACAGGAGAACACTTTTAAAATGTACAGTGCTGTTATTTTTCGATAGCTATGTTAGGTACGATCACAAGTGTTCTAAAACTTGTTATCAGTTTACTAATTCGAGTGCTAAGATCTGTGTGGGGCAATCTGAATTTGTTGTGCTATTCTCATATTCCGTGTTTATTACACCTTATCGCAATGATTAGACAATGAAAACCAAACATTTGATTAAATTGTGATCTAGGATCCTGCGTTTAACAAGATAACGGTTGCACTATAGCACCAAAGCAAACTCAAAAATCCAGCCACTCTTTTTAATCTAAAGCACTCAAAGCGAAAGAGCGAAGTTTACAAAGTTGGATGACCGTTTTCACTTTTATTTATTGAAAACTGCGGTTTAGACCTCAGTTAGCTCATGGAGCAGTAAGCGAGCGGTTCTCTAGGCGCGCAATCCAACTTTTCCTAAATCACACCGTTATGGCCACCTACACTTCCATTATCCCCACAACCGTTAATCCCGATCTGCAGAAAGAACGCGATGGAGCCAGTTTTAGCAGTGAAGAACTCGCCGCATGGTGGGCTGGGGGCGAGGAGATTCTAAAGTTCAACCGGGGCGTTCGTAAGTCTATAAACCTAATCTTCGCGCTAATCAGTTGGAACGAACTACTCAAGGGTCATGCTGACTTTGCTGTTTTTTGTTTTTGACCAGGTGCATACATGCAGAAAGATGTGGATGTTTTGGGGATGCTGCAGTTGCAAAACAAATCGCACGAGGAGATTATTGAGGCTTCTACGCGTGGTGCTATTGATGCGGCCAAGAAGCTGCAACGTCTACAGGAGGAGCGTAATCCTGGCGGAGACGACTACTGGCCGTGAGTGATTCTTTCCCACTAATATCATGTACTTTACTTATCCCTAAAAACCTCGCTCATGCAGAAAAATGTTTGACCATCAAGTGATGTGGGGTCTCGTTCCCGGTGGAAATCCCTTTGGCGTTATGTACGTGATGTTGGTGAAAGCTCTCCAGGCTCAATGTACACCGGAGCAGTATGCTGACTTCGGCAAGCGTTTAGAACGTTTTGAGATTTGCGGCACATATGCTCAAACTGAACTGGGTCATGGAACCTACCTAAGAGGTCTGGAAACTCGAGCAGATTACGATCCAAAAACTGATGAATTTGTACTCAACACTCCCAAGATATCTTCATACAAGTTTTGGCCTGGAGGCTGTAAGTTTAGCTTTGTATATTGTTATTTGTAATTTCATTTTTGTAATAACATATGTCCTATCCCGTTCAGTGGGTCACAGTTCCAACCACTGTCTAGTTATGGCTCAGTTATATATCGACAACAAGTCGAAAGGACCGCACATGTTCTTTATCCAGGTGCGCGATGAGGAAACCCACGAGCCTCTGCCTGGCGTTCACATCGGTGATATTGGAAAGAAAATGGGCTTTATTGGAGTTAACAATGGCTTCCTTGGCTTGAAGGATGTGAGAATTCCACGTACTCGCATGCTGATGAGACATGCCCAGGTCAATGCTGATGGATCTTATATTAGTAGTCCCACAAATGTGCTCACCTACTTTGCCATGGTACGCACGCGCTGTGTAGTTGCTAAAAACAATTCCTTGATGTTGGCAGGTGCTGCCACCATTGCCACTAGGTACTCAGCTGTCCGTCGCCAGAGTCCCATAAACCCCAAGTAAGTTATTGTTTAAGGAGATATATTTTATATGACCTGTACCTATTGCTAACTTAAGGGAACCTGAGCCACAAATCATGGATCATGTTACTCAGCAAATGAAGCTCTTCCCGGAGATAGCAACTAGTTTGGCTTACCGACAGGCCAGTGATTACTTGTGGAAACTGTACGATGTTACCATTGAGGATATAGAAAACGGAAAATACGAGCGTTTGCCAGAGTTGCATTCCCTTTCCTGTGCTTTGAAAGTTACCTGTTCCATGGATTCTGCCTCAGGAGTAGAACGATTACGACTGGCCTGTGGTGGTCACGGTTACCTCACCTCATCCAACATGAGCAACCTTTACGTTAATGCTACCGCAGCCTGCACTTACGAGGGTGAGAATACGGTTCTCCTCCTGCAGATCGGCCGTTTTTTGATGAAAACTTGGCGAGCGGCGTTGAGTGGAGCTCCACTGCCGCCCACCGTTCGCTATTTAGCCGAGGTGCAAAAGAATCCGGATTTCGGCAAGTGGACGGGTAGTTGGGAAAACATGGTGAAGGCCATGCAGTACGCAGCAGCCAAGTAAGTTAGAAAATCCTTTATATTTTATTTTAGCCTTTACTAAAACGATTTACATTACAGTAAGACCCGCTTGGCTTTCAAGAGCCTTTCCAACCGCTTGTCCAAGGGCGAGACCGAGGCGAATGCTGCTAATCACACGGGCATTGAGTTCACCCAGGCAGCAGAGGTGGGCTTGAACTTTCATTGAACTTTGATCGATTGATTTCTAAAAATCTCTATATTTTTTCTTGCCCTTTAGCTTCATGGACGTGCCTTTGTTTTCGGTTCGTTCACCGAAGAGGTGACTGGTCCCAAATCTAAGAAACGTTCCACTGCGTTTAACCGAGTTCTGGAAAACCTTTTGGAGCTGTACCTGGTCAAGGAGACACTTAATCAACTGGGCCATCTGCTGAGGGTAACTTAATACCTTTAATAAATTGATGTTTGTTGAATGCTCAATATATATTTACTCATTTTCCAGTTTATTGAGATAACCGATACGGATCTAACAAAGCTGCAGGATCGCTTGGAAACTGTGCTCACCAAACTGCGACCTGATGCTGTGGCCATTGTCGATGGATTCGACTTTAGTGATCTTCAACTGAACTCCACCTTGGGCTCTTACGATGGCAATGCCTATGAACGTATCTTCGATGCGGCCCTCAAAAATCCGGCCAACCAAAAACCAGTGCCAAAGTCCTTCCACGAGATCCTGAAACCCTTCATGAAGTCTAACATCTAGTGCCTAGCACATTTTTATTACGTTTTTAAATCCATTATCTAGTGACAAGCTTAGCTTGATGTTTATACCCTTGTGTATTGGTGATGTGTAATTCTCTTAAATAATATTTATACCCAACATATACCGCTCTTTTACTAAATTCTGTGCTACATCTTGAATATTTACTCTTTCTTAAGTTGTGATGATCAGCCTTCTCTCTTGTAAAAGCTGTCATGTGCACTTTGCCCCGCGAGAGCTTTTCCTTCTCGCCGATCCACTAGTGTTCGCTCAGTAGTCGCGTGGAGCTCACAGCTGTTGGTTGGCTCTAGTCTTCAGTTGAAAAAGTTTTTATATTTTGTTTAATATTTTTCGCGAACCTAGCACAATGTCGCATATTAAAAACTTAATACCGAACACAGTTAATCCAGATCTTCAAAAGGAACGCACTGGAGCAGAATTCAATGTGGAGGAGTTTTCTGCTTGGTGGCACGGTGGTCAGGGAAAGCTGAAGACCAAACGCGAAATCGGTAAGTATTGGAGATAACATCAATAGCGTGACGGTGGTGTTCGTGTTAGGGCTCAGGTATTGGTCTTTGACTATTCTTTTTGATAAACAAGAAAATAAGGGTCCAAAGAGTCCATCAAATGGCCGCAAAGTCCAAAAAGAATTAAACATTGTTAAACAGGTGAATTTAAACTGATAAAACTATCAATATTGAAAGTAAATGATAGTAGTTATATTGATAGTAGTTGCCGGTATCTACGATAACGTGCAATTGCATAGTGCCTAGGTTTCTTATCAGCTAAACAACGGGCTCATCCACGCCCCCAGGTGATAACAAAAACCACAGTAAGGCCTTTATAAAACGAAATAACGAGAATGGGAATATAAAAATTTGTAATAATTGAAAAACTAATACATTGTTTCAATTTTGTATACAATAGAAACGGCTATCTTCAGTGACCTGGAGGATGGCTACGGCATCGATCACGAGTATATGTCCCACGAGGAGGTATACAATTCGAGTGTGAAGAAGGTGGCTGAGGCTGCTACCAAACTGAAGGCCCTTCAGAACAAACTTAATCCTGGAGGCAACGATATCTGGCCGTGAGTTCAAACCACAAGATTTTGAGAAGTGGTTTTATTAATCTTATCTCTGCATTCTTGCAGTGGAGTGCTGTTCAATGCTCAAAGTTTTGGACTCTTTCCGGCTAATCATCCCGTTGCCACCCACATCACTATGTTTGTGGATGTGATCAAAGGTCAGGGTACACCTGAACAGGTGGAGAAATGGGGCAAGGCGGCGGAGAACTGCAACATTATTGGTACTTATGCCCAAACGGAACTGGCCCATGGAACCAATGTCCGTGGGTTGGCCACTCGAGCGGACTTTGACCCCAAAACGGATGAGTTTGTGCTAAACACACCCAACTTGGAGGCCTATAAGTGGTGGCCAGGCGGCTGTAAGTGCTAGGATATCCCAAATGCCATTTTGATTTCAATCATCTTCTTCCTTTTAGTGGGACACACTGCCAATCATGCCATGGTGGTGGCTCAGTTGTATATTGGTGATGTCCACCACGGCGTGCAAATGTTCATTGTGCCGGTGAGAGATGCGGAGAGCCCATATGCCCCTGCCCGGAATCGATATTGGCGAGATTGGCAAGAAGCTCGGCATGGCGTCCGTGAAATCAGGGTTTCCTGGGTATGAACAATGTTCGGATTCCACGCACCAACATGCTCATGAAATTCGCCAAGGTGGAGCGGGATGGCACCTTCAAAGCCAGCCCAGCATCAAAGCTAAACTACCTGACCATGGTGTACACTCGTTGCTTGATCGTCAACCTGAACTCTACGCTGCTCCTGGCTTCGGCTACAATAGCCACCAGGTACTCAGCGGTGCGACGACAGAGTCCTATTGAACCAAAGTGAGTGCTTTTCAGGGATATTTAGATACTTTTATAACTTCGGTTAACCAACAGCCAACCCGAGCCCCAGATCATTGATCATGTTACCCAGCGCCTGAAGCTCTTCCCCGAGATCGCAACTGGAATGGCCTATCACTTGGCCGCCGAGTACATGTGGGAGATTTATGCCCAGACCGTACAGGAGGCCAACAGCGGCAAGTTCGATCGTTTGCCTGACATGCACGTCCTATCCTGCGCTCTCAAAGTTCTCTGCACCACCGACGGATGTGCTGGCATTGAAAAGCTTCGCCTGTCCACTGGAGGACATGGTTACCTTACGGCCGCTAATTTGAGCAACATCTATGGCAATGCTGTAGCAGCCTACACATATGAGGGCGAGAACACAGTGCTGCTTCTGCAAATTGGACGTGCTCTGGTCAAGGCATGGGCTTCCTTCGAGGAAAATAAACCAGTTTCCGCCTCGTACAGCTACTTTGCCACCTCAATGAAGCTGAAGGAGTTTCCCAAATGGGACGACTCCTGGCAGTGCATCATCAAGGCGTTGCAATATACGGCAGCTCAGTGAGTTTCCTCTGAAATCATAATTAATACCTATTATTCAATTTATTTACCTTTAGTAAAACCCGCATTGCATTTGAGAATCTGGCGAATCGCATGATCAGCGGTCAGTCTCAGGGTGTGGCGGCAAACAACACAGGAATTGAACTAACCCGTGCTGCTGAGGTATTTAAGACATATTTTACTCATCTGACGTTATTAACCAGTAATAAATAACGTTTCCCAGCTTCATGGTCGACAGTTTGTGTGCCAGACATTCCTAGAGCAGATTACAGGACCCAAGGCCCAAAAGCGTTCCCCGGCTCTCAACAAGGTTTTGGAGAACGTGCTGGAACTGTTCCTGGTCCAGACAGTGCTCAATAACCTCAATGATGTTTTGAGAGTAAGTTTTTCTCGGCTATTCCATATGATAACTTATGATTAATCAACTTTGTCTTGAAACCAGTTCATCAGCCTCAGCGATGCAGATCTGCGATCACTGCAGAAACGTCTGGAGGTTTCGCTGGAGAAGTTCCGACCCAATGCGGTGGCCATTTGCGATGGCTTTGAGTTCCACGACCGTGTTCTGAACTCAGTTTTGGGCTGTTACGATGGCAACGTGTATCCCAGACTCTTCGATTCGGCCAAGCGCAGCACCATGAACCAAAAGCCCGTACAAAAATCCTTTGAAACCTACCTGAAACCCCTGATGAAGGCTAATCTGTAAAGCAAACACCAACGGCCCTGTGTATATAAATGAATATGTTAATAGAAACGAGATGTTTTGTTTAAATTAGTTTTATACCAGTTTTATTTAGCAAATCAAAACCAATTTCTCAGTACATTCAGCGCATTTTAAAAAAACTAACAAACTAAACGCTTACAAAGTAGCAAAAAAAGTTTGATGTAAAATTTGACAAAACGTACTATGGGTCGAGAGTTGAACAAACATAGTACTTGTACATATCAAAAAAGTTGCGGTTGCGTTTTTTACAGTGTAGAAAAAGTTGTGTTCAGAAAAATGTTTTTGTTCCAGTTGCTGCTGCTGTTCATGTTTTTGTGTTTGCTTGTGTCTCAGTGTGTGTGTGTGTGTGTGTTGGTTTTTGAGTGTGTAAGTTTCAGTTTGAGTAGATTGTGGATTGTGGAAGGGGGTTTTAGTTTTCTGTTCTGATGATGTTCGAAATTTCCCTTTGTTATATGCTCTGCTGTCGAAGTAGTAGTATGTTAATTCATTATTTATGCATTATACACAGTTACACACACAATTGATTTATGTTGCTAATTATATACTTATATGTTATATATTAGTTTTCGTTTTTTCATAACTTTCTTTTCGCAATGAAAATATGGCATGAGAGTTGGAGAGAGAATATTGGTTGACTAACAATTAAACAAGTATTGCAGCTAATTGGTTGGTTGTGTGGGTGGTGGGTGTTGGGTATATGGGTGAGTATAACATTTGTTGCTGGACTGCTTGCTTTCGTTTAAATTCAAAATGATTTTGCCATGTAAACTTAACAATTAATTTTCACTATTGCAATGTGGTTATCTGTGGATGTTGTGGCGGTTTTTGTTGTTGTTGTTCTCGTTCGTAATTCGCTTTTGTATTTTGTATTTTGCTTGCAAAACTAAACAATTGTCATTGACAGCGAACGTAAAAACTAAATAAATGCACAATAATTAATGCGTTAATCCGATTTTGATTCTTAGCCATGGAAGAAGCAGTTGAGTCAAGCGAAGGAAATCTCGAATAACTCTAAAACCCAAGTGGAAACCTAAATTAATGTACAATTGCTTTCTCGTTGACGATCTCTCATTTCTGCTTAGTTGTTTGAATTCATTTCCCAATTTCAATTTCATTTCAATAAATATTCGTGGTTTTGTGTTTTCTAGAAAAAAGTAGAAATAGTTCTTTTTCATTTCAATTCTGTTTGTTTTTTGTCAGTTTGCCAGAAGGGTTCACAGTGTTTCATCATAAATCTGTTTTAGTATTTTTTGTTTTTCGTTTTTTGTTTGGTTTTTGTTTTTAGGAATTACACTAATAATTACATAGTTTTGCTTATGTATAACTTAAAAACATTTATGCATCGATTTCCGTTCGTTATGTGCCGCACAATTCATAATAATAATAATTACCTTCATTGGACTTTGTTTTGTTAGACAATTGATAATTGATTGGTGGAAAATAAAGAGTTAAGTGTGGGCGTGTGTGAGTGGTTCGACGAGGGGTCCTATCGAGAGAGTTGAGAGATAATCGTGATGTATCCAATTCGCTTTCGTTATTCAGCTAACATATATAATCCATACATTTATATTCAATATGCACGAAAGTTGCCCTTTACATCTATGTAGTTGGATGCGCGTGTGTGTGTGTGTTTGTGTGTATTATTATAGTTATTATTATTCAATTTTCTCCTGCTCATTCTGCTTTTGCTCTACATACTCGTAATTCATAATTAATTCGCTTAATTTTGCCCGCCCTTATATTGGTTTCACTATTTATATATAATATATTATTTATATATTAAATTTTGCATCATTTATTTGCAATTATATTTGATATTCTTGTTTGTTTTTGTCGCTTAAAACTTACTTAATTAGAAAAGTCGCATACACACACCCACACACACGCAGAGAGTTCATTTGCCTGTCTGTGTGTGTGTATCTTGCATTAACTTACAGGTAAGTTTTCATTTTTTTCATTTTTCTCTTCCTTTTTTATGTTTTTTGTTTTTCTTTCGATATTATATTGCCGATTTGTTTCTTGTTTGTTTTTATTTAGTTTTAGTGTTATTTACCCCTCACGAAAAATTGTGTGTGTTTTCTGAAAATGTTTGAAATTTTCAATTGTTTTTGTGTTAGTTTAGCTGCTGCGGATGAGTTATCCTTGTTGTAGTGGTTCGCTGATGATGGTGCTCCGCCAATCCACCACTCCGACACTCCGCACAGTGTATCCAGTTGAGCCCAACCAAATCCAGTCGCTCCGCCTCTGTCCAGTCGCTTCCCTATCCTCGCCCTCACACTACGATCCTGTACTTGTGGTCAACTTAATACCTGCGCGCCGTGCCATTATCTCAGGCGTAGAACTCGCGATTATTCGCGTTTTTCGCATACGAATTGTTGGCCGGCGATCTCTTGGGCTCGTCCAGCGCATACGATCCCTCGTCCTTTTTCCTCATGCGGTACACGATGAACATGACCACGAGTATGGCGCAGAGCAGGCCGACGACGGCACCGCCAATAACAGCTATGGAGGAGAGAAAAAATTTAGTGATCTTTGTCCTATGGCATTAGCCTTACATGGCGTATAAGTAATATCTGATTTCGAAAAGCATTACTCATACGCAGTGTTAACTCAAAGATAAGTTAAAGTCAATGATAGATACTCACCAGCCAGGATTCCGGGCTGCGAGAAGAAGCTCGACGTGCGATCGTCCTCGCTCATGATGACCACTTCGTTGCCGTTAACCCTGTGATCGATGGTCTTCGTGTCGGAGGGCTGGCTATTCACGTTCGTGTTGGGGTCCAATTCGTGCACGTCGCTGCCACCTGCGCCCGCTGTTTCGGAGAGAGAGAGAAGGCATTACGGCAATGAGAAAGAGATTCAGTGTGGAAAAGTCCATTTATGCCCATGACGTGCAAGCAAAATCAAACAAAACAGAGAGAGTGAGACAGAGAGTGGCTGTTTTGTTTCTTATCGTATCGTATCGTGTTGTGTTGTGATGTGTGTTGTGGGTATTCAATTAAATTGATTCGAGTGTCAATATTGGTTTTAGTGAGCGGTATACGTATACGAATGCGTAAACATGTGTGTATGTTGTGCGTGTGTTAATGAGCTGTTATGCAGTATTTACAAGGCTTAATGTTAGTCGAGCAGCGTTGACTACATAGGGAAACTTACATCTAGTTCTTATGCGGCATGGTATGTCCCAAAAGATGAGCCACAAAATCTAATTTTCTACTCTTAGATATTAAACATATCATAACATACTTTAAGCTACGATTAATATTATCAAGAACCTACTACATAGCTCCTACGGAAAGTTAACGCATGACAGATCCTGACAAAAACTGTTGACAGTTAATTTCACGGCAATGAGCAGGGATTTGCAGAAAAGTTTTCAGCGAAATGAAAAAGTTTTTGTCAGCTACGAATGCAAATTGTGGGAAATTTTTCTTCTTAATTTCGAGGGTTGACTTAAGCCCAAGAAAATCGGCCATTATATAGCCTTCTTGATATTGACAGGCGAGCTAAAAAGTAATTGCAATTGCCTGTCAAGTTTAGATTCTATTTAATTGGCATTTTCCCCCTGACTTCTGCATATGTATGGACTCTTTGTTTTTAGAAACAGCTATTGTTGAATCCCCACGCCCACTTTTGAAGCTCCCCAAGCAGCTGAAGACAAACAAATTGCTTGTTTAGCCCTTGTACTCGCACTTCTTGGCAACTCAAACACGAAAACCCACACATGGCTGCTGCTCCCTTGAGGGGCGGCATATTAATTAGGTAATGCCCTCGAGGGCTCCTTGAATTGGCCCTCGCGAATAAACCTCTCGAATTGATTTTATATGCGCTCTGCAAACTCGGGGAAATCAAGGCGATACCAGGAGCAGTTCTTTGAGTCGCCGCTCCGGAGCTATAAATATTTGCCTTTCAATGCGATTTCCAAGAGCAAATGGATTTCTCAGCTGCTGTCTTTGAGATTGCTTCTCTGTCTTGCCATTCCATTGATTGTCTGCTTGTCTTCAAGACTTTCTGTTTGCTGAGAACCAATAAAGGTGGCTCCCTCCCTCCATGTGTGTGTGTGTGTCTGGATTTGATGGGAAAATGCACTTTGTTGCCAGGGATTTGGATTTGGGGGTGAGGAGGTGGAGCAGCTGGGTTTGATTTTGTGCTCGAATGTTTCGTGTGGTCAGCTGTGCGCAATTATGGCAAAATTATTGCCAGGGCTGTTTGTCACCAGCGCTAGTCGACCGTATTGATTGTGTTTGTGCTCTCGGTCGAGGCGTGGCAATTGCAAAGCAAACATCAAAGCCATAAGCCCGCAGAACCCACACCCCCGATTGCCATTAGGCCATGTTTCAGTTTCTGGCGGTGCACTGCTCCTATGGTTAGGGGCTGATTCTGAGAGAGGTACAAGGACGTACAGGGAAATAAATCTATTTGAAAGCTTCTCTGGAAATATTTTCTAGGATGTCTTGGACTTGCATAAATCTCTATAATAAATTTTAAGCTGTGATTTCTTCTGAAAAAGTGTGGAATTTCAGGAAAATTTAGTACAATCCCATCTTTTCTTTGGTATTTCTGTTTCTAAAAGCTTAGTTTTTCTCTAAGTGAACTCGCCCACGTAGCGCTATCAGGCGCAACAATGCCTCAAGTAAGCGGCTACAGTTACGCTCAAAAGGCAGATGGGAATGGGAATGGGAATGGTAATGGGCAGCAGGAACTGGAGGAGCCTCTTGCCATTGCCAGGACTCGGTGATTTTTCATTTGAAGTGCCTGCGAAGCACACCAAGTGTTTTTCCCCACCAACAAAGCACAAAGCAAAATCACTGCGCGGCTTAGTGCGATTTTCCAGGCGATTTTCATTCAACCGAACTACAGGAGGCGGAGCAGTGTTAATGGAACTTTATGCCTGGGGCAAGTATTGCAGACTGTCTGCCGCCCTCGACTCCTTGATGGAGTGCTCTCCCTGTTGCAACTTAATCGATTGTTTGGCTTTGGCTTTGGTTTTGCCTCTGTCCTTTGTTTGTTCACCGTTCGACGTTCGCCGTTCACTGCTTGGCACGATAAAAGCTTTTAAACTATCCTTAAAATATTCGCCTTAATCTAGCTTAAGGTTAGAACTAAACACTTAAACGATGAGGGATGTCGGGGGAAAGTGTGTTGACTCTGCGGGAGTTTTTCCAATTGAATGAACGACAAAAACAGAGTGAACGGAAAACGGAAATGATTGAATGAATTGGTTATGAATGAATGTGTTGGAATTATGTGGTAAATTGGTCAGTCCCAGGACATGAGCAGACTGAGACCGACACAGAGAGAGGTTTTCCCGAGCACCCGCAGCGTTGACCGTAGAGACTTTTCAGAGCGCGACGAATAAACTAAATCATATTTTAACGCACGCACATACACCAAGTACTTAAACGGGGAACTTAATTTGACTAACAAATACTGGAAATGTAAAGTACTCAAAGTGCACGCAGAAAGACTACGCAAAGAAGGCAAAGCAAGTATACGTAAATGGGAAACACAACCACTTAAAATAGGCAAAAGTACTAAGGAAATAAAAGGAAAGTACTACTAATACCTGTAATAAAATTAAAAAGCAAAAGTACATTACAAGTAATAATAAAACATAAAACCAAAGCAGAATGACCCAAGCAAAGCCAAGAGTTACTTAGCCAGGAAACAAGTTAAGATACAAATAAATATTTTTGGTTTTTACAGAAAAGTGCAAGGACGAAAAGGACAACAAACAAATGAAGTGAAAGCAACAAATAAATAAATAAATAAACAAAAATAAACACAAAAATAAATAAGGGAAAATAAAAGCCACTGACGTTCGCGCTCTGTAATATCGCCATCGTTGCCACCGATCCTCGGACCACCGATGTCCGCACCATCCTCCTCGTCGTTGTCATCCACATTGAACTCATCCTCGGTGCTATGATGATCATCTTTGCCAGAGTTGGTCGAAACTGGTGGCGCATTACCAGGTGCCGGACCATCGATATCAATTTCTGCATCCAGATCCTTGTCATAGTCATAGTCTTTGTCCTCATCGTCATCGTTGTCCGTGTTGGTGCCATCGCCACTGGCCTCCAAGTCGAGATCTTTGTCAAAGGCCGGGAACACGGGCTGACTCGGCTGTGAGGGGATCTTGGGCGGGGTCGCAGTCGATGTGGTTGTGTTAAAGGCAATGGATGGTTGGATCGTTGAGGTTGTGGCTGCTGCTGTTGTGGTGGTGGTGGTGGTGGATGCGGCGGTTGTTGTTGTGGTCGTCGTTGGCGTTGGTGTGGTACTCGAAGTTGTTGAGGTTGTGGATGAGGGTTGTGTTGGTGTATGAGCTGCTGGATATAGAGATGCGATTGTTGTTGGTTGTTGTTGTTGTTGTGTATGTTTCGGGAAGGGGATTGTCGTTAATGCTAACATTACTACTAACTAAACTCGAACGATCCTTAGCTAAAACTATATCTTCTATATCTTCAGATGATGAAACTGAAACTGTTACTGTTTCTGTAACTGTTTTTGGAAATTGTGGTGTGATGATGTCTGTTGGAGTTAAAGTTAAAGTTAAAGTTGAAGGAGAAGAAGTTGTGGTTGTGGCAGGTGTGGCGGGTGTGGAAGGTACACCAACGAGTGTTGCATTTACATGACTAGCTTGATCTTTACCGATTGAGTTAATGCCAGTGCTATGGCCACCGATCTCACTACCACTGCCACTGATGATGCCGTTCTGGCTGTTGATGTTGATATTGTGGTTGTTATTATTATTGTTCGCTGTGGTGCTACTACCAATGATTGTGCCACTATTCGTTTGATGGTTATTATTGGGATTGAGATTGAGATTGAGATTGATATTCTGGCTGTTGTCGATCTGATTGTGATTATTATTATTGTTGTTGAATCTACTCGAGATGAGGTCGCTGTTGCTGTTCTTGCTGTTCTTCCCGAAGTTCTCGTTCGAGTTATGCTTACTGTTTATGCCGGCGTTGCCGCTCTGCGAGATGCGCGTGTTGTGCGAACTGTGCGAGCGCTGGTCGGGTTCGGCGTCCTCGTCATCGGGTCCAAAGCCGGAGCCAGAATAGTCCGGATCTTTCTCTAGATCGTCGTGTATCTGTAATGGAAAAGAGCGGGAGATTAGTAAGGTATTTCGGGACTTAAAAATTTCATTAATTTAAGAAAAACCTAGGAATGGGTAACAGGCAAAAAGGGATACTGAGAAATACTTTCCCAATTAGCAGAACAGAAGGGCCTTCTCAAGCACTTCAAAAGGAAAGAAACAATCTAGAAACAAGGGCTTTTGCCGAAATATTTCTTCAAGTGCCGCCCGAGATTCGAATAAAGGACTTTTCTCCTTGACAAAGCCCGTTGCTTTTGTGCGCAACAAATGGCAGCTATTTTCCATGGAAAATTATGCACGACCGCCGTGTCCTTGAGTTGTTCCACATTCGCGTTTGAGATGCTAAGAGGGATCGAGACCCTTGGGTCATGTCCTCCGGCCTTCAGGGAGCACATTTCATGTGGCCCATTGTCTGACTGAGCCTCGGCTGTGACGGACGGCTTTTTGCGGTTTATTCGCACCAAAACAAGTACAAAAACCTAGCACAAGGCTGGACTGAAAGGGAGGGGGAAAAGGACACACACAGTCAGTGTGCCCACAACAACTGTGACCAGAACCAATTGGCCAGAGACCAGAGACCAGGGTCCTGGGACCTAGGACTCTGAATGACAGAGACAATTCCCGGCCGCAGACGCCAGCTCTTGTTTATTGACTTTAATTTCGTTTGTCGCTTGTTCTGGCCATAAAAACAGTGGCCAAAATAGAAACAGAGGCAGCAAACTTAATTGAATTTCTTCACGCGTTATGAAATGCCCTATAAAAGACTTGGCATTCAGCCAGACAGCCACCCAGCGACACTTGTTGACCCCCGACCCCATAATTCTGGCCCACCGCATGCATTATATAGACAAGGCCGACAACGACCGTGAGTAATGGGAATGAGCTCAAATTGAGTGATTGTGGCCGAGGGGGAAGCAATTAATTTTCCAATGGCAGCGAATTGGAATTTATTTTTATCCCAGCTCAAATTAAATTTCCCAGCAGAGCTCCCAGCATTTGTATCCATTTGTTTCGTTGAGTCGAGGATTTGCAAACAAATTCTGTCCCAGCTCCACGGCATTCATAACGGCAAATTGAAAGCACACAAGCCGGGGGCCGCCTTTTCAACAAATACGCGAATTTAAAAGCAAACGTGAAGGCAGCTTGATTTGGAAGTCAGGACTGCGGGGATACCTCTCAGTGTGTCTTCTCTTAAAACTAAATGGGTTTTTATAGGAAATATCTTAAAGTTTTCTTCTCAAAACTGTTTCAAATTCTAATTTTCATTAATTATTCAAATATTTCAGCTCCAATTGCGAGAACCACACACCATTGCAATGCATGTTGGACAGTTCGTGCATCCTATCTCACCCACAAATATCCTCAAGCTACCCAAAAACCAGTAAAATTAAAAAAAAAAAAGAAGCCACAGAAACATTATCCCGGCAAATACATTTTCATTTTGGCTACTGTTGGTCCTGTTGGTGTTTGCTTTCGTTTCATATCCACTCGTTTCGTTTGAAATTTAATTAAAATATTTGTGCATTGCGTATACGCAGTGTTGCGCACTCAAACCCACACCGCAGCATATATCATCCTCTGCCGGACAGTTGGCAAGCAAACGCTTGACCAGGAGCACTCATAAATATCCCTCCAGCGAACGACGGGCGGTGTTTTGGGGGAGGTACTGCGGTACCGGGGGATGGGAGCACCCCAAGTGGCCATAAAGCATGCGGCAAAGAGAAGAGAAAAAAAAAACAAACAGGAAAAAAAGAATGGGAAAAAGTGTTTGTCCCGGCCCTTGCAACACTTTCGTTCTGGCCGAGTTTATTTAAAGCGTTTTGTGCACTCTCCGCTCTTTTATTTTGCAACGGCCCTCGCTGTTTTGCCGCTTGATTTATGCAGCAATTAGCAGTCAGCAAAATGGGGCAAGGCAGTAAGTAGAAAGTGGCGAGTGGCCACTAGCCAGCAGCCTCTCTCACATGACTTAGCAGCCCAGGGCCACACTTTCGGGTCTTAAATGAAGTCCTGCAGAACTTGCAGTTTCACAAAGTACGAGCATGAGGTTTCCACCCCCCTCCTGCCACATTTGAAACGATTTGGGGGTAAAAACTTTTTGAACCCAGAGGGAGAGGATCGATGGGAGCTGCGGCAACAACTGTGGCCAAGCAAACGACCAAACGAGTGCAATGTGAATTTATGCAATAAATTGCTTTGTTAATAAAACACGATGCGAATGCCAAGGAGCGGGGCGGATGGCGGTGCAAAAGCCAGAAAGCAGATGCTGCACCATCCTGAGGTGCAATGTGGGTCATGCATGAATTTAAATGATGTCATTTCATCGGGACCACCACCTGCTGCCAGCCAGTGTGGCTCCGAAAATGGAATGGGATATGCCTTCCACTGCATGCCGCATTAAATTTGCATTTGCTGGCAGCTGATGCCGCTGCTGCAGCTTCTTTGGCTCTTTGGCTGGCCAACATGGCGTATGCTTGACACCATTTTGATATATGACAGCGAAAATGAAATATTCGTGCAAGCCGGGGCGAGCATTCCCATAAAACGGAAATTGTTTCAATAAAGCGTTTAAAAACTTCTTCTTCGGGGGGGGTCGGTACCCAAGCAAGCAACTTGGCAGGCGAAATGAGAAAATAAGACAAGGGAGCAACCTTCGTAATGAGCGAAAATTGTGTCAGTCAAACTATAAGAAAGGGGGGGAAAACTATAAAGGACTGAGCGGAAAAGCAGGAAAGTGGAGTTGGGAATGGTTGCAAGGCACGTTTCATGCATAAACAACAGCCCGAGTGCAGTCTTCTTTTTTGACTTTTCTGAAAACATCAGAGATGTTGTCACGGCCCTGAGGAAAAAAGTTTCCCTTCTCTCCCTTCTTTCCCTTCCCCCAAACCCTTCCTCTCATTCAGCATAATTAATGCCAGAAATTTCGTTTCGAGTGTGGGATATTGCCATCATAAAACAGACACAAGAACAATCCACCCACACATGCCGTGCCAAGGGCCAAGTCCCAAACAAATCCGGGCTAAATCCTGTACGAGTTTATTTTGTAAATAAATTTCAAAACTAAATACAAGGAGCTTTCAATTTGCCGAGGCACATCAGAAGCTGTTCTCTCCAAGTTTCTCTTCTGGCAGAAAAAGTTGGGCTAACGGCTAACGGCTAACGAGTATATTGTCGATTTGACAATGTTCGCAAAGTGCGTGACTTGAGTTGACCGAGTTGCCAGAAACATTTGGAAAAATCCTTGGCCAGGGCAAGTTTTTGGTTTTTAGTGTCGGTTGGTTGGGGTTTTCCCCTTTTGCCCCACTTTTAATCCACTTTGGCCCACTCTAACCCACTTTCTACCCCTGAACATTTTACGTAACCACTTTGACCCTGTGTGTTCTCACAAAATTTCGCATTGTGAATGCTACATTTCGGGAGCCAAGTGGCCTGCTAAACATTTGCATGGGTATTTCTGCAGGAAATGGCCAAAGTTTGTCTGGCCAAAGCGGAAAGCCGGTTTGGGGGGGCGGCGAGAGGTTAAGGAAACGAACCACAATCCCAGGAAAATTGATAGCTCTCCCTGGCCAATGGCCGAGTTCTCGGCTTTGTTTTTCCAGCATTGGCATTGCTCAATAATTGCTCGGAGGAATCTCTCCTGGGGGAGTCCTAATTTATTTACATGCACTTGCAACTTTGGCCTACGGGCAGGCGAAGAGAGGGCGCGGTAGGGAGGAGAAAGAAAAGCCGACTCAGGGAAAACTCGGGGAAACTCAATTTTCCAGCTGGAAGATAACTTACGGCTTTATTTAGACAACGAAATTGAAAATTCGTTTCGTTACTCTTTTTGTTTTTCCCTCCACTTTCCGCTCGGTACCCTTTTCCGACCAGGACCAGAACTTTTTCTAAAAAAATATATACGTCGTTCGTAGATAGATAAGTTTTCAGCAGCTTTTCCATTTTCTCCTCTATTCACTTATTATTTTGCAATTGCCCATTTCCATTTAGATGTCAGCAAAACCATATAATCTAATGAACAGCTCAAAGGGTTTCCCAAACTGCCCGAGAACTCGCTAGCATCCACACTTACCCTTTTTCAGTACTTTCAGTACTCAGAAATAATAATCCCTTTGGGTCTCTCTCATTGAGGGACTATTATGTTTAGTACCCACTAAAATGTTGCACTAATATTATGGTATTCATACCAGAAACATTGATAGGTTTAATTTAATTCTGGCTTTCTGAGCATCTCTGGTGAATAATTTAAAGTTTTTCCCATACATATTTTTTCTGTGTTCCTTTGATGCTTCTCCCTTGAGGAGCTTTTCATTGCAAATAATTGCTTTTTAAATGCAACAAATGAGCAACAGAGGATTTTCCTCATCTCTGGCCTCTGTCTCCTCCTCCCCATAGCAAATTGAAAAAGTTTTTGGCAAAATAGCGCCATGTTTTTGCCTTTGAATGCCTCTCAAGAGTTTCCACAACTTTCACTCACCAACAAACGCACTCACACACACATACACATAAACATAAACTCACACATACAGATAACAAAGGAAATTGTGTCGTGGCCTTGCTGACGTGGCTAACGATTGTTGTTATTGTTGTTTGGTTTTTCCTTCTCTATTTAGAACGCTTCTATCTGCCCAACTCTTCAGCGAAGAAAAGCCTTTTGTTGCATTCCATTGTGCAAGGCCACGCCCACCCAAACGCCTCTGGCATAATTTGACACTTAATTGGCAGCTGCATTGCGGCGGCAGAATCCTGCGAAAACTGCACATTTATCAAGCTCAAGTCTGTCAGCGGTGTGAAAGAGATTTTTGCTTAATTTCTGACTTTTTTTTTGAGAGAGAGTGGAAAGACGAGGCTTTATCGTGTTACCTTTAAAGGATGCAGATGCGGATGGGGATGCGGATGTGGATGCGGATCCGGACACAAGCCAATTTGTATTTCCCTGCGGTGTGTTTTTTGCCATTTTATCAGCCGCCGCAGATTTATTTACAAGCGATTTTTTCCAG